AAGGGCACCAATCTAGACAAAGAAGAGTAGAAGATGCTTCTCTTAGCCCCCTTATACCAAGACACTGAGTTAGGGAGAAAGTACAAAGCCCTGTGCACTGCCATTGCCATGCACCCCCACATCACATAGACCCACTGCTCACAAAGAGCCCTCCCTCCTCTTAGCCTCACCCTCACTTAGCCTCACTCATTCCAAAGCAATGTGGAGGCTCTTTAAAGTGTGCCTTCAACGAAGCACCATTCTCTAGTCTTGGTTCAGAGTATGCCTTAGAAATATTCTTTAAGACACCAGGAAATTACCCAACTGAAAGTCTAGTTACCTTGAAACTAGCTGAGTAGGGTCAAGCATTCCCAATGGCAGACAGTCTTTCTTTCCCAACAGAGGGGATGACCATTCCCTCCACTTTGGTGTCTTCCTGGTTTACCTGAGAAAACCTGTGATTATGACTATGGAACCTACTGGAAAGTCTTGTCTCTTAAGGCAGACCAGACTGTTTCAGACAGCACATTTGTTTCAGTGCCATTGGGCTCTGCTGCTAAGAAACATCACCCACAGCTATCTGGGGTGCTCCCAGCCTCCCTGCAGTGCAGATTCTCGTCTTGAGTTGCTGTCTGACTGAACTTGTAGTGCTTCAAGTGCAGTTATTTTCATTTCAAACAAAACATTTAAAGGGGATAAATAAATTGCAGCATTTGGAATCTTGATCCAGAATGAATAGAAGTTAGGCAGTGAGTTTAATTTATCCCTACATAATGGTGCTGACTGCATACCAGACTCTGTACTAAGCACTTTGCATAGATTAACTCACTTGATCTCATGATAACCTTAGGAGTTAGGTACTCCTAAGTATCTTATTGTTTCCTGTCACTATTTTTACAGATTATTATCACTCCCATTTTACATATAAGAAATCTGAGGCACAGTGGAGTTAAGTGACCTCCTGATATTCCACAGTTGCTCAGGCTTTGAAACCCAGGCAGTCTGGTGGCAGAGATCACCCTCAGCCACTGCATCGCATTGCCTCCTTGCATGTATGTCATTGTGAAGACATCCTGCCTGACTGATTGGGGACACATAGGCACCCTGAGTTTGAGGACTGCTGTATATACCTTTTGCATCCCTACAGTGCTGAGCAACCAGCAGGTGCCCCACAACACATACAGATCGATGACAATTTTCCCCAAATATTTTTATATATATATGCAAACAGACCTGCCTCTATTGGGCCTTAGTTACAAACACATATGTGATACCCAAGGAAATAATTATGAAAAAGGCTCATGGGTATTAACAGAAATACACAATGTTTACAGATTTCATCATCATTGGCCATAAAATATTTTTAATGCATTTTCCCCCTGATTTCAAGAGTAATGCACAGTCATTAGAAAAATTCAAACCTTGTTGAAATATATAAACTATTCAAACATTCAAGTTAAACATGTATAACATTGGGACAGTCACTCAAAATAAACTAATAGATAGTGTCCCAGGATTTGACTGGCCTTATAAGGACTGAAATGTATTCACCCTACTCTGAAAGCTAGCTTGAGGGGGAGTGTGTATATACAGTAACTTTTAAGTTGTCTATAAATCTCTCTTTAGAAGTTAAGTTTCCTGAGATAGATGTATAAGAAGGTAAGGTAAGTGTGCTGCTTCCTTAGGAACTGACTGAATGTGTATATGCTCAGGTGGGGCAGAGTGGAAGCCAGCTGGACCTAAAAGTGTATGTCTCATTCCAACTATTTGCATTTGGAGATGAAGAGCGAGGCTAGGGCTCCTGTCTTCAGGATCTTTTCCTTCTTTCCTAGTCATATTTGCTCCTCAGACCATGTCCTGTGGGAGGATCCAGGCAGCTCAATCAAAGCTTTCTGGTCCTGACATAATGGGAGGGCACGAGACGTCTTATTAAAGACCCCGGGAAACTTCTGCTTTTACTACTAGCTGGGGAGCAGCTTAAATGCAGGTGCACCTCCATGTTCTCATGTCACTGTGGGTAGTGCCACTGTCCTGTCTCTTTTGTAAGGTCACCAGGAGACTATAATGAGGTCAAGACCTGAAAAAACTTGGTAAACTCTTCCTCCAGTATGTGCAATTTAGAGGGTCAGGTGATCATTTCTCACTGATTCAGTGCTTGCTTTTGATTGGAAGACTTGGTCCGAGGTGGAGGAAATTGCACTTTGAAGCCTAAAATCTTAAAAAGGACACTAATGGCTCCAACAGATGCCAGATTTATTTATAGGTGGTAAATAATGGAAAATTAACTTGACGTGCTGAGCAGTCAGAGGGACATTTAGGCTTCAAATCTTCCCTACCCATCTCTCCTTGAAAGGAAAAAAAGGAAAGGAGAAAAGAAAAAAAGAAGAAAGGAAGTAAGGGAGGAAGGGAGGAGGGAGGGAAAGGAAGAAAGGAAGAAGGGAGGGAGGAAGGAAGGAGGGAAAGACGAACGGAGGGAGGGAGGGAGGAAGGAAGGAAGGAAGGAAGGAAGGAAGGAAGGAAGGTAGGAAGGAAGGAAGGAAGGGAGAAAGGAGTACAGCTCAAAGAATGGCATAACTGGAAAGGAGAATATAACTTGGGGACAAAGGCACTCAGTGAGAAAATATTTGTTTGTCTAATTCCTCTTGCCAGGCTGAGCTTCTCCAGGTTGGAATTGGATCTTATTCATCTTTGTGTGACACTTTCTTAAAGACTATTTAGGATGAACCATATGGCATTGCATTTTTGTAGATCAAAAACAGTCTAATATTGGCAATGCCATATGAGTCAATCTGAGTATTAGATAAAGATGCAAGAGACCTAAGGGTCATATTCATTTAGTCAACTTTAACCTGTTCCCTCATAACACCTTCCCACCTCTAGCACCTGGTCAGAGAGGTTCGTCTTTCCTTTCACCGTCTGACCCTTAAGATTCATGCCTCTGAATACTGACTTTAGTGTTCCCTTGAGCTTGAAAATGTCTAGATGTTAAGCACATGCTATACCAGTGTCCCCTTCTTATAATGGGCCTCATTATAACCCAAATTTCAATTCCCATTTCATTTGATGGACCTAACAGTCTGTAGTCAAACAAAATAGATGTTCTTCATTAGGGTGTTGTATAGATTTTTTTTCTGTTTCCCTTTGCTCCCCATCTCTAGCCTCTTTCCTTCCATTTTTTCTTCCCCTTCTTTCCTTCCTTTCTCTCCCTCTCTCCTTTCATTAATCCTTCCTTCCTTCCTTCCTTCCTTCCTTCCTTCCTTCCTTCCTCCTTTCTTTACAGGTCAGGCAATCCTTTAGACTGAAGAGAAGATACACTTGAGTGAACCAAGGGGAATGGCAAGACTTATACTGCAAGTTCCCAGAAAGGATACCTGGATCTTACATCCTTCCTTTAACCCTTCATGATGCTAAGCATCACACAGAAGCTATGTTGAATGGGATTTATGTGAATTAAGAAGCTCTCAAGTTGAGGTCAAGACTTTCATTTCTTCTTCCATATATTTGTTTCTGTTATTTATCATTTTCTAAATAATGAGGTTTGGTGGTGTTTGGCTCTGTGATAAAATGGCATAACATTTATACCATGCACGATTATTTTTGCATCACATTATATCATTGACATGCAGAGCAGCCTAACAAACATTTTTTATTATAATTACTTTTTACAGGAGACTTGAAAGGTATAATGATTTGTGCATAATACATCTGGCCATCAGTTCCCCCTTCCTTGTTGCAAATCCAAACAGGAGTTGAAACAAGGCTTGGTGAGAAGAAGCATTAGGACCATGTGGACACACTAGAATGTGGCTCAAAAGGCAAGTATTTTTGTCTGCCTTGTTCTCTGCTATAGATCCTGGGGCTTAGAACAGAGCTGATAGTGAGGTATTGTGCGGGAACAGGTTAAAGTTGATGGAGGGGCATTTGGATCTCCTGGACTTTTGTCTCAACATTAATGAGACACATCTTAGGCACTTGAAAAATAGCCTTGAATGGATGAATAATCATTACAGTTCGACTACTGATGCTATAATCCCATAGCTATTCAGTTCACTAGTCACATATCACCTCTAGGTCTCTGTTTTCTCATTTCTAAAATGGGGATTATTTTACTTATCTGGCAGGATTGTTAAAAGGATTAAATGAAAATCCATGTAAAGCAAATTGACCAACATAATAGTGGGGACTTAATAAATGTTAGTGCTTTTTCTTCCCATGCCTTCTAGCTTTCTTAAAAATACATTTGTGTGTGTGTGTGTGTGTGTGTGTGTGTGTGTGTGTGTGTGTGTGTAGACGGTGGGGGAGGCTAGGACAAATAAGTTATTTTGTTCATGTTTTTCAAGCTTCCCAAACTCAGCACTATGCCATTTTAGGCTGGATATTTCTTTGTTGTGGGGGCTGTCCTGTGTATTGTACGGTGTTTAAGAGCATTGCTTCCCTCTACCCACTAGATGTCAGTTACAGCCCCCAGTTGTGACAATCAAACCTGTCTCTAGATATTGATGAATGTTCCCTAGGAGGCAAAATTGTCTCCTGTTAAGAACAACAGTTGTACCTCTAGCCATCCATTGAATAATTAAACATTTAATTTATAAACAAGTTGTTCAGGTACTGTGTAGACATTGCTGGTGGGTATAGCATATATTTAAATGTATATCAAGTCAGGATTTACACAGAAAAAGAAAAACAGCACATATCAAATTAAGCTATATAGTCGATCCATAATTATCCATGAAGTGAGTAATGAAGTAGATAATTAAAAAGTTATTTCAGTCACACAACTTCCCTGCATTAGATTATTTTCCTAATTATGGTTGGATTAGGCTAATCCTATTAATAGTAATCAATTTCTTGGACACACACTGGCTGATGACAGGGAGATATGGCAAGTATGCATGGAGAGAAATCATTTGGGTTTCTTAAATTTTCATGGACTACCCATTAAGTGGGCGCTTTAGCCACAGATTATCAAACTGCATTGTCTATTAGTAAGCTTAAAAAGTAACAGCAACATTCATACTTACAGGTGAATTAAAGACTTTAGTCCCCGGAAAGTATGTCTTGAAATGGACTTGATGTTGTTGTTTTCTATGAATCTGCAATAAGTTATAATATTTGTTGTCAGACAGCTGTAGGAACCCAAGAGGACTTGTCCTGAATCATTATGTCAAAGAAAAGTTTTTTTTACTTACAAATACTCTAGATGTGGAAGACCAATAAAAGCATCATCACTGATCACATCAAAGGAGTTCGATGTGAATAATCTGCCCAGGAAAAAGTACACAATGAAAACAGTTAACCTGACAGATTGTCAATCTTTGCTGCTATTATGTCTTAAAGAAATGAATGGGAGTTGTGTATGGAAAAGTATCTAGGTGTTTGTCTTCCACAGTGTTGTTTATTTAGGTAATCTTTGAAGCTTTTTTTTTTTTACCCCAATTCTCTCTTCATCAGATACTCATAGAGTCTTCATGTCCCACTTCTCACAGTGATGGATGTCACATGCCCTGAGTAACATTTTTGAGATATAACTGGACAAGTATGACAGTCAAAGCAGCCAAAGCAACATTTTGCACATTTTTATGACAAAGACACTAACAGAATCTTTCCCTCTTGCTCTAGAAACTTCTGGAACATTCTGATCAGCTCACACAATGGGTGCCTCAGGGTGTTAAGCCTGGAAGCCCTGGAAGAGTAGCTCCATCAAAGCCTAGTTTTGCTTTGATATCTCACAGTAGATAGGCCATCAACACTGGCTCAATGAACATCAACTAACATCCTTCTTAGATAATAGAACAGGCTGAAGATGGGAAACAGTGAGGCTTAGGAAAAGGTTTAGACCCATTTTATTACTAAATAGTTGGGAAAAAAAAACAGTTTCACTTGGGCACATTTATTTGCAATGTCAAAATCCACAAGAATTTGGTTTTGAAATTACTGATGAAAAGGAACATCAACCTGCAGTCCCAACATCCTGTTGAACAATTTGGAAAAGTTGCCAGCTTCTGAATGACAGACTTAAAAGAGGTGATTATAGGCCAAATAATACAAAGATGAGGTGTTTTTTTTTTTTTTGAGTGAGTATTAATTTATGGAATTCATTAGATAAAGTGTTGATACAAGCTAAAAATAAAGTTTTAAATGTACTGGTGATGAATTTATAATGGGTTCAAGTGATGTTCCATCTACACATTAAGGCTCTTGTGTGGGGGAACCTCTTATTCCACTTGTAACTATTATCCAAAATGTGATCATGGTCATGGACTAGACCAGGTGTTTGACATAATTTGATAATTCAAATCTCATACATCCCATTTAACTGCACTATGTAAAGTCCAATATTCTCTGTTAGGAATCTTTTTTACTTACTTTTGAAGTCTAAGGATTAAAAATAATTGGCACTAACTAGCTTGGTGATTTCACCTCTCTATACCTGTTAACTAAGGAGATTAATACTAAGAGATCTTACTTCCTGAACCTTTTTGAAAATTTTGACATCTGGGATTGCTTTAGAATAATCAGGGGAGGGGAAAGCAGTGAGTTGGAGATGAATTGAGCATGACTGAGAATCTTTGAAGGTAAAACAGAGATACATGGAAGTGAAGTTTACTATTATGTCTACTTTTATATGGGAGGAAACATGAACCAAATAAATAAAACTAGATGCTCTGTTCCATTTCATCTTAAGCTATCAATCCTGGAGTGATGTTGGATTCTCTTTCTCTCCTCTTCCAACATCATAGCTTTATACTTAAGTCATTGACTAGGCTCTGAAAAGTCAACACTGATGAATAATGATACTTATTAGATGCTTGTAGTTATTACAACAAATTCAAAGGTTTATGATTCCAGTCATAACTCTGGCACTTGTCTCTTCTTACTTCACAGTTGTGAAAAACAAGATTGCTCAGCTTTGCTCCAAGTAACATCCAAAGCCTTCCTTATGTTCCAGAGCTTTGTTTCATCCTGAATAGGCAGTATCAGTGATGGACAGAATAGAATAAGGCAAAAATAGATACTGAGAAATACCTCCCATGCTCACTGCTTTGCAAACTGCCCCGTGGTTGGGGCAGCCACTTCAAAACTGTACACTCTAAGTCACCAGAAGAAAGAGCTTTCAGCACTAGTTCCCCTTATGTTGAAATTAGATGCAAAACAGAGCAGGAAATAGATATTAGTGGGCAGAACTTGCCCACGCATGTCAGGGAAATAAAACAGAGGATTCCCAGTAGAATTTGTATCTGCGTGTCCATTGCTTATCCCTAGCACCTGTAATACTGCCCATCCCATAGTGGACACTGAATAAATATTTGTTAAACAAAAGGAATTCAATTTACATTAACTTCTTGTCATTACTACATTACTAGATTGAATGTTCCTTAGAGCAGGGGCTTACCCTTATTTACTTTTGTGTCCCCAGCCCTGAGCACAGTTCCTGGTTAAATAATGCTTGTTGAACTGGATATTTCAAGGATTAAAATCTCTGGCTAAAACGGAAGGTACATGTAAAAATATGAATGAATCTCACAAACCTAAGTTGAGAGAAAGAAGCCAGAACATAATTAAAAAAACCAAAACAAAACAAAAACAAAAAAACCCCACAAACCCCAGCAAAACTCGCTATACTGCCAGAAATCGAGAGAGTGGTTACCATTGGAGATGGGTGGTAACTGGAAGGGAGCTCAAGGGGAGTCTTTGGGGTAATGATAGTGCTTAGTTTCTTGACCTGGATGCTGATTACAAAGATACTCACTTTATAAAAAACCACAGTGGTGTGGAAGCAGGAATGAATAGGTAGAGCACAGAGGAATTTTAGGGTTGTGAAAATACTCTGTATGGTACCAGAATGATGGGTACATATTATCATACATTTGTCAAAACCCTAGAATCTACAACATCAGAAGTGAGCCATTATGTAAACTAGGGACCCTGGGTATTAATGTAGGTTCATCAATTGTAACAAATGTCCCACTGTGGTGGGGGATGTTGGTAATGGGGGAGGGTATGCATGTCTGAGGGTAGGTGGTATATGGGAAATCTCTGTGCCTTCTCTTGAATTTTGCCGTGAACCTAAAACTTCTCTGAAAAACATTCTTAAAAAGTCATCGAGATAAACACTTAGTATATGTACACTTTTCATTATGTATATTACATTTCAATAAAAAAAAGTTTCTTAATAAAAACTAAAAAAAATTACTCTGGTTAAGATAATAATGAGTATCTTAGTCTTTCAATTCTAAATTCAATTGTGGTTTTCTAAGGACAAGGATTCTGTAGACAAAGATGTATAAAATTATACATACATTACAAATACAGTTGAATAGGCTATCCATTTTATTATTCTATGTATACTTAAAAGACTAAAAATCATGTTCTATAAAGAGGGTGAAACTCTGATCCTTAATTTTTATGAATTTCTTGAAATATGTTTGATTTCAATATTATGATTTGCCATTGGGCCAGTTGTTAAAGAATCCCACAGTCCCTGTTAAAAGGAAACTGTGCTACTCCATACCATCTTCACACATGACAGACCTAGAGCAGACCAAGCAGAGCACAAACTCTGTCCCTTTCCACAGATTCCTAGGGCTAGGACTCATGTCTTTATCCAGAATAGCTGATCCTGGGGTCAGTCAGCCTCCCAAGGGCCAAATACCCTGGTTCAAAAGGCAAATTAGGCTAAAGATAAGTCCCTTCCTGGGTATTTGGAATCAGCAAACAGAGATGGAGCCAGCCAGCAGAGGAGCTGAAGGAGAAAGGACGCCTCAGGGTTGAGTTAGCTCCCTGGCAGGCAAAGTATGAGCCAGGCACACTTACGAGAGAGCAGAATGTGGAGGAGGACTTGCAAAGGGAAGGTTGTGTGAATGTTGAAGCAGGGGAGATGCCTGGGTCTGTGTTAGATCCTAAGCCACAGCTTCTTAATCTTGGTTGCACTTGGAAAGACCTGAGAAGCTTTAAAAATATGGTGGTAACTGTTTCTTACCCTGAGGGGTTCTAGTTAAATTCTACACTTGGGGTGTGGCCTGGTCATGAGGATGTTTAAAAGCTCCTTAGGTGACTCTTATATGCAGCCTGGGCTGCATATGGTCCGCTTCCCTTCCAGGTCACTTACACTACCCCCTCTTTACCTGTGGTGGCTGAGAGAGCAGTTCGCTCCTTATAGCAAGTCTAGGTGGAGCAGTGGCTCTGGGACATAGAGGTGCTGTGGATGGTCCTGTCCCCATAACTACATGTAGTAAGACTCTGCAAGAATATGACTCAGATTTGACAACCATGCTCACAAAAGCAGCACCATAGAAGGGTTGGTGGGGACCAATGTACCATCTGAATGAACTTGATACTCTGAGGCACAAATCAGAGATCTAGATCCCATAGGCTTGCCAAGCAGCCATCCTGTGGGTTGGTGTGGAGATAGTCTAGAATTTGCTCTTCACCTCTGGTCCTATGGGAACCTGTGAGGTCTCTGCCACTTCCTCTATTCTTAGGGAAGGAAAACATCAGGCATTTCCCCCTAGAGTTTTGGTAGAGGTGCACACAGGGATGTGTGTTGACCGATCTGACCTTGCCCCCAAAGGTAATGCACTTATATCTCTTAGTCATCACCCTCATGAATTCAGTAAGAAAGGGGACTGTAGGAGGAATGAGGAGGACTTTATTTCCTCTCTGCAACCAAGGGAGTGTATGTTTCCTTACAAGAAGGAGATTTAGGAAGACTGTACATACCAACTGTTAATTCCAGGCAGGCAATAGCTCATTCTTTAAATGATGGTTGTTGCCTTCATAATAGCCTATATTTCATAGATTCTTGCTGGATTATCTTATTTGGTCTTTGGAAAAACTCTGTGAAAGTGGTAGAGGAGATATTAATATCTGTTTGACAAGAGGAAACTGAGGATCAGAGGGCTGTGAAAAGCTTTGCTTAAGGTCATGAGGCCCAAGACTCCTTGTCCAGTGCCCTGGTATTGACACACCCGGTAGCCTGTCAGTATAGGGTCACATAATGACTTAATAGCTACATTCTGGCGGACAACCGTAACAACACTGTTCAGCTCATAGGGATTTAAGAAATACAATGAAACAATAATCCCCTTTTTAAAGGAACTAATTAATGTGAGTAGTCTCAAAGTGATATTAAAACCTTTTAAACTTGTATTTTTTTTTCAAGTAAAGACTTTAAAACTTTTGAATGCAGTTTGGTGCATTCTGCTTATGAACACTATATGCTCATTGCAGAAATTCTGCAAAACACAGAAATGCTTAAAGG